ATAAGAGTGGAGAAAGTATGCACCCTTGTCGAACTCCTCTAAGTATACTTACTTCCTCTGTCAGTTCTCCTTTGACTCTTATTCTTGCTTTCTGATTTTGATACGGATTCGATATAATCTGTAGATCTCTACTATCTATGTTTTTGGTCTTAAGAATACTTAAAAGCTTTTCCTTACTTTACTTTACTTACCTTACTTAAGTGGTCCTATAATTCTTCTTTTCCCAAAGCGATGATGAATTTTTGCCCGTTTGCCGTGTCAATTAAGGTTTTGGATAAGCACTGTTATATAAAATACCCTCATTTACGCTGACAATATCCTTGATTCGAAACCAAATAGTATGTGGCCATCTTCTAGTACGCCTTGCTTCTTTATTATTAGCACAAGTTTGATCCAGTACATTTAATCCCTCTTTAGTAACGTTAAAATGTATCTAAATGTATAATATAAAAAAAGTGTATTTTTTGTACGTAAGACAGCAAGGTTACGTCTTTAGTAAAACCAAAGAGTGAAGAATAAACCTCGCGTTGATTATTCGGCAAAAACTCGTTTGGCAATTCTCGTTTGTTTCTTCTGATAGTACCTACCTAAGTAAGTTTATGTTGTAGCTCATTAACGCTCTAGCGAGGAAAACCAGTTATGCCCACTCACATTGCGTTTAGCATTCACTATTGTAGCAACTAACGAAAGAACATTGACAGTTGGTATGGATAACTTCTTGGGATTCGGTATTCTGTTTTCTTTTCGAGTATACACAAAAGCGTTCAATAAATAATGGGTACGGGTATCACAAAGGCACATTATTTTAAGTCCATATTTTTCTGGCTTACTTTTCGTGAACATTCTAAATTTACACTTACCGCGGAAACCAACCAACGTTTTATTTACGGTTACACATATTCTCCACTGAGTAGTTAGTATAACATTTTTTCTTATATGTATAATAAGTATAATAGTTCTACACTACTGCATTCAAACCATTCCCTCAAGTTCTTAAGCCACGATATTCTTCGTCTTCCCACATTTCGCTTTCCTCGATTTTTGCCTTGAATAATAAGCTGCAATGAGTATCTTTGCTCACTCATAACATGGCCTAAGTACTCAAGTTTTCTTTTTTTGGCAGTCAATATTATTTCAGTTTCATTTTTCTGTAACACCAAAATTCAAAGGCGGTCAACTTATTTAGATGCACTTTTTTTATCATTCATGCTTCCAAGCATAAAGGAGAGTAGTGAATACGTAACACCGAAACATTCTTAAAATTTATAAAATGATTAAACATTTCAGAAATAGCTGCCAATTTGTCTCCTTCTTCATTGCGCTTATTTCTTGTATTTGGATCATCAAATCTTACAGCAGTTAGCAGAAAACTAAATCTTTTTGCTCTCATTACGGAACGGAATATATCAAGACCTGTACCATCACCCGCAAAAAGAGAATCTATATCTTCATTGTTAGACTTGAAAACGCCTGGCAAATACAGTAGTCTAAAAAAGCTAATATTTCCGTATTATCAACGTTTAAAGCATTACCTCCATAATTTGTTTGTAATCCTGTAATCTTTTCTTTTCTCTTCTCAATAATATTTTCAATATTTTTGTCGTCGAGCACCAATTTGATGACTTGATGATTCGTGGTTTCCCAGAAAGCCCTGCTAAAGGTGATACTATATCTGATGCACAGGTACGGCTTAAGGCAGGCGCTATTTTCGACCATTTTTTTGTCCTCACTACTCAAATCTCTGGCCAGTATTTGGTGGTTCCGCACACTATCACATCATTATCACTAAGTTCAAAATAACTATCAGTATTATGATCATTAAAAGTTGTTTTGGCGTTAGAAATATCATCATCACTGTCAAAAAAGGGTTCAGCAGTCTCCAACTTCTGCTGGGTTAGAGGTTTCTTTTTATCTTTTAAATTGGCCATTATTCTTCTAGGCACCGAAAAAAAACACTTAAGGTATGGCGGTGTCAAATTTGACCTGATGAACGTCGGTGACTATATACTACACGTAAGCAATGTATTGTATAAGAAAAGTTTTGCTATACCAATTAGGGGTTAAGTAAATTAATGAAGCTGGAAATCTGCTTTAAAATCAGGAAAATACGATTCAGTAATTTATTTCTGCACTTAAATCATTACTTTCAGTTTCTAGGGAACCTAAGTACGTGAACTCTTCTACCTTGTCAAAGTTGTACTGACCTGTTTGGAAGAAGTTTCTATTGTTACGTCTTGCTCTTACGACTTGACCTACATTGGCATTGACCTACGTCAATCCTACATCTCACGTCGCTTTCAAAATATCTTTGAAAATTTAATACTGTCTCATCAGGACTAAGTATCATGGCGCCATCCGTATATGCAGCTATTTGTTTGATCTTCGTTATAAGGTTCACGCGGATGTCAACTTTGGATATTGCTGCCTGCAGCAAGAGGTTATTTAATAGCGCCGATAGGGCGAGTGCTTGTCTAACACCGTTATTTATGTCAAAGTTGTTTTGTATTACTACAGCTGCTTCTGGTGTCAGTGAGAGTAAGCTGTACCAATCTGACTAGTTTTTTTTTGTATACCCATAAGCATCAGGCTGTTTTATATTTTTCCTGTGTTTATTGTCAAATTCTTGTTTGAAATCAATAAATAGACTGCTTATGTCGATTTTGTATTCATGGGTCTTTTCGAATACTTGCCTTATGCTAATCAATTCCGAAATTTCCATTCGATTCCGTTTGGCCGAAATTCGCACTTGTGATCCGCACCAATGATCTCTTCCGCAAAAGGCGCCAGCTTGTTATATAGGACAAAAGGAAACATTTTGTATGATATATTTAATAACATAATTCCTCTATAGTTGAAGCTTTATTGCGTATTCCCTTTCTTGTAAAAGGGGTATATGTGTAATTTCCATTCTTCTGGGATTGTTTCATCTTCCCATATTTGGGTGATTGTATCATGTGTTTGTTTCCATAGTGCTGGTCGTTCATTTTTTAATAATTAAGCTGTTGTTGTATCAGTACCAGTAAGGAAGTTATATTTATAATTTGATCTATGGAAGGTTCATGAATTTCTTTCTAAGCTGATAGGTCTACTGGTGTATTTTTCACCTCTTCTGCATTTTCATCCTTTAGTAATCAATTGCATTATTCTGTATCTGCTTTTTCTCATTATATGCCCCAGATAGTCAAGTTTTCTCTTTTTTATTATCTTTATTAAGTCACCTTCACCTTGACCTACTCTGTTCAAGACTTTTCTGTTTGAAATGTGTTAAACCCATGATATTCTGAGAATTCTACGATATAACCATATCTCAAAGGCTTCTAATTTGTTTATCATGTTAACCTTCATAATCCAAGTTTCACATCCATACAGTAATACAGGATACACATAACAATTTAGGAACTTAATTCTCAGCAAAGATGCTTAAGTGTTAAGTGTTACGTGTGGCCTGTTCTCCTGTACGGAATGGAAGCATGGACGTTAAAGGCCAGTTCCATCTACAAACTTGAAGTGTTTGAAATGTGGTTCCTGCGTTGAATGCTTAGAATATCATGGACGGACAGGGTCAGAAATAAGGAAGTACTCAGCAGAGCGGGCTTACAGGATAGAGAACTTGTTAGTTATGTAAAAAGTAGGAAGATTGCATACTTGGGGCACATATTACGAGAAGAAAGATACACTTTTCAGCAACTGATACTCGAAGGGAAGATATAGGGTAGGAGAGGTCTGGGACGTAAAAAAATGTCATGGCTGCGCAATATTCGACAATGGACAGGAATCCACAGCTATGTAATGCTTCGCAATGCTGCTAAAAACAGAATTATTTAATCCTGAATATTTAACACCTCACCTGACAAGACGATGTACGGTGGACGCCTACGCAGAAATGCACGGCACCTTAAGAAGAAGAAGAATTCTCAGTTGTGAGTTTAGCTTAGAATTGCTCACAATAGATCTAAGTTTCATAAATGCTCCTCTTGCAATTTCTATACGAGTTTTAATTTCTTCATTTGGATTTAGTGTCTCGTTTATCCAACATCATAGATATTTAAAATGGTTAACTTTTGTTATCGGTTCAATATTGACAATTAGTTGTATAGCGCCGAGGTCTTGTTTACTAACAGCAAGTAACTTTGTCTTTATTGTATTTATGCTTAGTCCGTTATTAGAGCATTTTCTAGTGACTCGATCTATAAGGAATTGAAGAATTTCGATACTTTCAGCCATGATTGCGGTGTCATCTGCGTATTTGATGTTATTAATAGTTTCTCCCCCGATTCTAACTCCACATTGCCCTTCCAAGGCTTTGTTAAAAATTATTTCTGAGTAAACGTTAAACAAAGTTGGGGACAACACACAACCTTGTCTAACACCTCTTTGAATACAAATTTTGTGTGTTTCTTTACCGTCTACCAGAATAGAAGCTTCTTCATTCCAATATAGATGTTGTAAAAGTCTCAGATCTTTATCATCTATTCCAATTATTTCTAGATATTCAAACAGCCTACCATGTTGAACCCTATCAAACGCATTCTAAAAAATCTATGAAACAGTTGTAAATTGGTTTCTGTACTTCCCATGAAGTATGTTAGCATTGAGAACAAAGCTTCCCTTGTTCCCAATCCTTCTATGAAACCGAATTGTTTATTTCCCATTGTGTCTTCACATTTCTGCTTGATTCTATTAAGAATTATCCTAAGAAGTAACTTGAGAGAGTGACTCATGAGACTAATTAGTCTAAACTCTTTACATGATAATGTATTAGGTTTTTTTGGAAGTGGGATAAATGTAGACTCCAACCATATTTGTGGCAGTGTTCCAGTTTTGTATATGTGGTTATAAATGTTTGTTAGTTCTGAGGCATTGTCGTCGTCTAGAAATTTGATTGTGCTTGTGCTTATACTGTATGTTAATAAATCCTGATAAATAAAAGACAAATTATAAAAATAATATATATACAACAAAAAAAAACCAACAGAGTATAAAAACAGTTTCTACACTTTTTACACGTTTTTGCTTCTAATCCCCAGCCAATCTTCTTTAATCAAATCAGCTCCCTTTTCACCCACCATAATGGTTGGTGCGTTGGTATTCCCACTAGGTATAGTCGGCATTATCGAAGCATCTATGACCCGCAAACCTCCGACACCATAAACCCGTAATCGTGGATCAACGACTGCTTCTGTGTCCCATGTGGGACCCATCTTGCACGTCCCAACCGGATGGTATATTGTCATTGATATTGTCCTGATATGGCACTCCCAGTACTTATCACTGGTGAATTCAAACTGTCTACAGTTCGGAAACGGAATGTTGTGTAGGCGGCTGCCGAATTTCTTGAAGGCTTGAGTTTCGCTTATGTTGATTGCTATTTTGGCACCTAAAACAAATATTATATTATGTTTGTATAGAATCCACCCAAAACAAATAAACTGAATGGAATTATAACACTAGCAGACGAACAACAAAGTTTTAGGTCGGGAAGACCATGCACCGACGCTGTATTTATAATGAGGTACGTGCAAGAGAAATCATTAGAATACAACAAACCGACATATCTATGTTTCGTGAACATTATCCACTTATAAAGAACGTTATCCACTTATTGTACGTAAGTGAGATACCTTTAGGAATAATCAAAACGATCGAAAATATCTACCAAAGCAAAACAATAAAAGTAAAAGTAGAAGAAGAAATAACTGACCTTATTGAAGCTGGGAAGCTGGTTATGGATGAAATATTAAAAAAGTACGAACTAAAACATGATACGAAATGGGAGAAAAGCTACTTAAAATAATTTTGCAGACGACGGAATACAACTCTCTCAGAGTGAAGATGATTTACAACGTATGCTGCACCAATTTAATATAACCGCCAGAAAATTTAACATATTAATTTCCCCAAAAATGACTAAATGCAGGGTTATAGCAGCAAATTTAATAAGATGTAAATTGGAGCTGGAAGGTCAGATGGAATTTAAATATCTAGGCATCACATTATCCAGCTACGGAAAGATCGAAACAGAACTGAAAGATCAAGTTAATTGAGCAAACAGAGCCGCAGGTTGCCTAAATGAAACAATATGTAGAAATAAAAATATTGGGAACAAAATGAAGGGCAGATTTTACAAAACAGTCATCAGACCAATAATGACATACTCGGCAATAACACGACCTGTCACAGAGATGACAAAAAGGATGTTACAAACAGCAGAGATGAAAATACTTGAAAAATTGATGGTAAAACACTATAGAACGATCACATAAGCTGAATGACAACAAATAGAGTAGTAAAGACGGAAGGAGACGTTTCCTCAATATTAAGACGATCAGTAGGAAGACCACAAAAACGATGGAACAACAAAATGTTGGAGGCATATTGAAAAACAATATCATTGCTAAAAAGTTAAAGACAAGAAAACCTATAGGAAGAAGAAACAGAGGTTGACCTCGAATTTGGTGACTAGACAGAGTTGCGGCCGATTTAGGGGTTCTAGGGATCAGAAGATAACACCACGTTGCCAGAAACGAAATAGAATGGCGATGAGGATTGTTGAGCCAAAGATGATGGTGATGATGACATTGAAAAACAGACAGGGTCATATACATATCAATTGAAACGCCAAATATCTTGGCGAATGGAGCACCAATTCGTCAAAACCTTTCGTGTAAGAATCGGTATCGATGGAGTGTTATAACAATATTTCATCAGATACTCACAGGGCTAATACAGACTCCTAGACGGCCGGTCAACGAATGTGTCCTGCTATTTTTCACCTCAAGGGTAGCTACCAAAGTGTCATCTACCTTGATGGCCATGAACGAAAACGATTTACTTTATGAGCACACAACATTGCTATTTTAATGGGTACTGCATAATCCTATAGTTACTGCATTGTATTCTCTCGTCAATTTTATCATATTTGTCGACTGCTATGGTTTTTTGTCACCATTTTTATATTCTTGTTTGTAATCTAATATTACTATTGAATTGGAAAATTTTTGTTCCAAACGATATCACAATGAAAGCCAAATAGATAGTTATTATTCGTAAATTGTTTAACACTAAGGATCTTAATCAAGTATCTTGAAGGTATATTCTACGATTATAATAACAATTTATAGGCATGTTATCGTTTTTTTCTATTCATCTTTATATACTCTGTATTAAAAATTTCGTCATTGAAGACGGAAGGATTCGGAGATATGTGGCAAATTTAGTGGGTGTAAATCAGTCGACAGTATCACGGGTGGTAGTAAGGTACCGGGAGACTGGTCATTATGAAAAACGAACTGTAACAGGTCGGCCAAGAGCAAATACACATGTGGACAATAGATTTTTAGTCCTTCAGGCTTTGCGTAGAACACATGTGACTGCAAGTCAACTTCAACATGACATACGGGACTCGAAATGTACGTGTGTCTTCAGAAACTGTTAGACACATCTTCAACAGTCTGGAATTAGAGCCAGAGTAGCTGCCACTGCCCCGAGACTTGCAAGGGAACACCGTATAGCACGTCTAACATTAGCAAGAGAGCACGTAAACTGGAATATCGACGACTGGGGTAACATACTCTTTACGAATGAGTCAAGATTTTGTTTATACACTTCGGATCGAAGAATGCCAGCTTGCAACCTAAGACCGATGACCAACTTTGAAGGAGGATCTATTATGCTCTGGGGCGGAATATCTCTTAGGGATCAAACTGAATTGGTACAGCTAGATGGAGGATCCTCAACTGCTGATAGGTACATTAGAGAAGTTACCGAATACCTTCAAGAGGTAAATTTACAAGTTTTGAATTGGCCAGCGCACAGCCCGGATTTAAATCAAATAGAACATGTTTGGTACCATATGTACAGAAGGATGAGGTCTGGTAATGTGATGCCAGCTAATCTTCAGGACCTGCAACGGTTGTTAACCGTAGAATGGGATAATATCGATCAAGAAAATCTAAGAAGATTAATTAGAAGTATGCCACAACGTTGTCTAGATATTATAAGAGCTAGAGAAGATAATACTTCTTACTAAATTGTCATTACTTTTGATTTTTATTTTTTTTTTTATTCAATGCATCTTGTGCGCTTGCTTCGAATTTATGAAATAAATTAAATAAAACCGTTGTTTTAAATTATTTTTAATACAAAATTTGCAGTTTATAGGTGATGCGATACTTTTTTGGCGGAGTGTATTTTAATTGATTGGGTGTCTCGTTAGACTGGACTTGGATAAAAACCATCGTTTCCTTGCGAAAAAATAAGACGATTTTTCAAAAAAATATCGTGTTTGCGAAGGATTTAACCTTTCCTAGTTCAGTTAGGGAATAATCACAAAGAGAATGGGATACCGTTTTTGCTGTTTACAAAATCTAATTTAAATTTAAAGCACACGTACATATTTCTATTTTATTTTATTTTATCTCCTCGTCATGATTGACTGACTATTGATTAAGTCATGTGCACTACTCAAACAATTGTTTGCTCATTTTGTTATATACACTATGTATAGCGAAACGGGTCGCTCATTTCTTTTATCAACCTTAATAAAACCTATAACGGATTGTGAATATAAGACTTATTTCCCTAACATTCATGAATATGTGCTCACACGTGCAACCTTTTCATCATTCTTACAAACTGCAAAGCTTCGAATTAATTACTATTAAACTGGGAATATTTACTGTTTGTATTTTGAGAACGATTTCCGAAGTGGAAATTGAAACGTCAATAAACGTATTTTTATCTTTAGTTGTGGCCTATTCCCAGTTTAATAGTAATTAATTTACAATGCCACAAGAAAATAGCTTCAGAACAATGCAAAGCTTCGAGTCAGAATAATTTAGTGACAACCACTTCAGAAGCATGGCAACGTGGTATGCTTACAACTCGTTTGTGAACAGTCTCAATTGAATTCAAACATAGTTTTAAAGATATGTATATTAATCTGTGAATAAGTAAAAATACCTTCTACTAGAGTTAAAATATCCAGAGGATGATCGAAATAATTTGCGTTGATCAGCGGCGGTGAAAAAGGATTTTTGTTCCTGAGCCTCACCCACCCTCGAGATCTCGGTCGAAGAAGGAGCGGCATCAATGTGTACACATCTTTGTTTGCTATTGGCTTGTAAACTGTGTTGTATAATTCGTCTGTGAGTCCCAGAACTTTCCGAACTTTAGCCCCCGCGTCTGAGTTGATGCTCGCTGGCGCCATGTGGAATTGAATGTCTGGCCAGGATCGGTTGCCTAAAAAGGAAATCGGTCATTACATAAGTCAGTAGTATTTTCAGTTATTTTTAGATTAAAAAGTTAATGTGTGGCTTGAATAGGGGTGTTATAATGCTTATTCGTTTTTATAATATATTTTATAAAATTTAATAATTCCTAAATTTATAAATACTATCATATAATTGAATTCGAAGTCCTTGTTAATTATCGACTGGGGAAAAATGTTGCTTGAATTGAAACTATATTTGTTTTATCAGTTTGATATTTCGTTGATTATTTATTTTTCCACCTTCATCAGGAACATAGAAATTCTGTGTTTTATTTTATAAAATAAATACCATCAGAGCGACAAATGGTTTTCTACGAACGGGCAAAACGGCACGAACATTATTTATTTCCTGATGTCAGATGATCAAAATCCTACTGTCAGAAATGTACGCGTAAATCCCCGCGTCAATCTAAACGCTAACCTACACCCACACCACGTCACCATCCACGATATAAATGAACGATCCTCTGTTCCCAGTACCAGTAATGCATTGGTACATTGGTTAGTAATCCGTGTAGTAATGTCTGGAGGCTAGGGAGAATAATATATATATATATATATATATATATATATATATATATATATATATATATATATATATATATATATATTGAACCTACCAATATATTGAATCAAGCAGTTACAAAAACTGCTTGTTCATTATTTGGAAGACGCATTATAAAAACAATATGCAATACGAACAGAGTTTCTCAAATATTCATCATTGGAACTATTCCAAGAAAGCCGTAATGAACAGAGAAATCATCAATTATAAAATGAATTTTTTTGTTATTCAGTATCTGATATTACCGAAGAAAATGAAAAATAATCGAACCCCGGGTGAAGATGGAATAGTGTCAGAAGCACTAAAAATTGGAGGGGATGTATTACTTGAAAAAATTAAACAACTTTTCAATATCTGCCTTCACAGCGCCAATATTTCAACAGACTGGAACAACGCTGCTATGATTCTATTACACAAAGCAGGAGACAAAGCAAATTTAGAGAATTACAGATCGATTAGCCTCCTCAGCCATATATATATATATATATATATATATATATTATATATATATATATATATATATATATATATATTGTTTGTTGTTGTTTACGCGAATACTAGTTAAGAGAATGGTAAGAAAATTAGAGACTTATCAACCAAGGGAACAGGCAGGATTCCGATTCCGAAAAAGTTACGGAACAAATGACCATCTACAAAGTATAAAAACCCTAATAGAGAAAGCAGTGGAATACAATAAACCTCTAGTTCTAATATTTATCGATTTTCACAAAGCCTTTGAAACAGTTGAGCTAAGCAAAATATTACAGGCGCTTAAAGAATGCAGGCTAGATTATAGATATACTAAATTATTATACAAAATATACCTGCAGGCAACAACCACTGTCAGATTACATACTAACAGTAATCGCATAAAAATAGAACGGGGGGTTAGACAAGGAGACCCAATGTCACCTAAACTTTTTAATACGGTGCTAGAACATGCTTTTAAGAATTTGGATTGGATGACAAAGGGAATAAAAATAGATGGAGAATATCTAAACAACTTGCGTTTCGCCGATGATATACTTATAATATCTGAAGATCTAGGTATGGCAAGAGAGATGCTACAGGAACTCGTTGTGGCTACAGAAAATGTAGGTTTAAATATAAATATCTCGAAAACAAAAATCATGACCAATTTAGTGCCCAACCAGAACATCAGTATTGGTGGGAAAGAAATAGAACTCGTAGATAGATATAAATACCTGGGACATGAAATTATGATTGACAGAGATAACCAGACTCATGAACTGAAGAGAAGAGTCGGCCTTGGGTGGGCAACATTTGGAAAACTGAGAGAAACTTTTGAAAGTGAGCTGCCCACATGCCTAAAGAGAAAGGTATTTGATCAGTGCGTCACTTACCTTAACAAAAGCAGCAGCTACCAAACTGAGAGTCACGCAGAGAAGAATGGAGCAGTCCATGTTAGGAATAACTCTCCGAGACAGAATAACAAACGAAGATATCAGGAGAAGAACCGGAGTGACTGACATCATCGAGAAGATAGCCAGACTAAAATGGAGATGGGCAGGACACATAGCCAGAATGACAGATGGGCGATGGACAAAGAGGTTATTGGAATGGAGGCCAAGGGAATACAAGAGAAGCGTCGGTCGACCACCTACAAGATACACTGACGGTTTAAGAAGACTCAATAAAAACTGGATAAGAGCGGCGCAAGATAGACGGGGTTGGAAACATGAGGAAGAGGCCTATGTTCAGCAGTGGACTCTTGAGGCTGGATGATGATCTGATATTACCACCCCTATTCCTAATTACACTTTCCAATCGATTTCAAGTGGATCGAATGACTTTCCTAAATTCTTGAGGCATTGCTTCCCATTCATCATTAAGCGCAGCTCTCAATTCCATTATGCTCCTTGGTGCATGATTTCTGCTCCGGACCCTTCGTTTAAGCTCATCCCAAACATGCTCTATTGGATTTATGTCCGGACTCAACGCAGGTCAATTTATTGTAGGTATATCGATATCAGTCAGATAGGTGGTGGTGACTCGTGCGGTATGACATCGTACAGTATCATGCAATAAAATAAAGGCATTACCAGTGAGTCCCGCGTATGGAACCACATGTTCCTCCAAAATATCTCTGATGTAACGATCCGCCGTTAAACCTCCTCCACGTCCTCCACCAGGCACGAAAACCAGCTCGGTTTTCCCATCCATGCAAATAAATGCCTGCCTACAACATACAAGAACCCTCGGTATGACACAATTTCTCGTATACAACATTGAGCAAATCGTTTCCCTGGCCTTCTATAGACTCGACGCTTCTTGCCATGTAGGCAGATCCTACTTTCGTCGGAGAATAATATCTGACTCCATTGATAGTCATCTCAATCCAGATGTTCGCAAGCAAATTCTAGTCGTCTTTGCTTCTGGGCTGCAGTTAGCTTGGGACCAATAGCTGCCCTTTTTGGTGCCAGGTTGGCTGCTTTCAGTCTCCTTCTGTCTGTCCAAACGCTGGTAACCACACCTCGGACCTCTCTAAGCTTTTCTTTGAGATTAGCACCAGTCAAATGTCGATTTCTCAGAGATTTACATACAAGAAATCGATCATCTCTCTCTGTTGTTATTCATTTACGACCTCCTCCTTGTCGGCGGACATAATGGCCAGTATCTTGGTACCGACGATACACTCAGGACACAGCAGATTGGCTTAAATTTAGTCGATTTGCCATGGCTCTTTGGCTCAGGTCTTCTCTCAATAATGCTACTGCTTGAGCTGATATGACGGACGTGGTTTCCATTTGTTATGAAGTTCCGAACTTAATTGACTGATGTATTAGTGGGTTGCTAGAAAAATTGATGGTTACGATGTTAACCAAATGTTTTAAGTGGTTGCGTGTCGATTGCAATGGATCAAATTATGACCCCCTCTCTACGTGTTGCATTATTTATACTAATACGTCACTCGATTTACCAAAAATCAAAACTTTTTCAAACTCAATAATGAAGTTAATAATTGTACACTAAATATTTTTAATTTACACCTTTTTTGATTGAAACAGGAGACGTACTTTCGCAAAATAATTTTGAGTCGATTTTTTTGCACTCAAGTGTAGATTAAATCGAGTTATTGGAGTAGTGGGAGATGGTCAGAGATTATTGAATCTCCAATGAAACATTCGTCGTCAATAAATATTCTAGAAGAAGAATGGTAGAATGCCTAGGAAAACGATTGGTTTTTAACAGGCCATAGTATCTAATATAAAAGTGAAGCAGAAGAAGAAAATATGAATATTGTATAGAGTATGTCGAAATTGGAGTAAAATGTTAATAAAACACTTTATACATGTTAATAAAACCACAAAATAGAACTTTATTTTTGAGATAACTATTTCAGAAACTTAAGCGAATCATAACAAGAATAATCCTTTTTAATCAATTACCTACCCATGTAAGTATTAACAAATGCCAGTCCTTCCACTCCTCCCAGCGTGGTCATCGGACCTTGCTCGTGCATCACGTATTGCATCGTCATGGGAAAAGCCTGGAGCCGGTCCTGCACGATAGACACTGGTTTATTAATTCTGAACGTCAAACCACCCATTGCGACGTGGTCCTGTAAATTTTCTCCCACTGGTAGGTCGCGAAGGACGGGAATTCCGTGCTTCGTCAGTTCATCTTTTGGCCCTATTCCCGACAACATAAGGATCTGCGGCGTGTTAATGGCACCGGCTGAGAGGATGATTTCTCGTTTGGCTGTGACAACCTGCTTTCTTCCTAAAAGTATAAAACGAAATAAAAGTCTCCTTTGATTTAAAGAGATGGCTGTAGTGGGTATAATAAAATCCTCGTTGTCAGTTAGTTAGTGTGGGTATAATAAAATATATGTGGTGAAAATATGAAATACATATTTAACAGCAAGGTTCTGAAAATACTTTTTTGTGGAATGTCTAATGTCTAATTTAAATATTATTATCATATGCGATTAAGCCACAATTATTGGTTGTAATGATTTTTTTTTGTTTATATCAAATCAAATCAAAAATAATCAAATTAATAATCTTTTTGAGAACGATTTCCGGAATGGCAGTCGAAACTACTAGTTAGGTAAAAATTTGATTTTCATTACGACAAATAATTATGGCTTAATCCCATATAAATAAAATAGTTAAACATATTTAACAGTTTTTAATTTTGCAAAATATATTGTTGTAATTGGTCATAAAACACTTTCCTTGTTGTTTGAGGCTTATTATTTTCTGGGTCGTATACTGACCGATGATGTTCAGGTCTTCCTTCTCCATTCTTGTCTTTGTTTTTAATATTCTTTCTGATATATATTGGCACTCTTTGCTGTGATTTTGGTAGTAATTCTCATCTGGGTTTTGGATGTTTTTTGCTTGTCCTTATTTCTTACCGAAGTCGTCTTCATAGTATCAATTCGGTTCCGAGGCTGTACATGGTTTCTTTGAGCAGTATTTGTTTTTACGATTGGTAGGTTTCTAACCTTGCCAATCACCCTCTACATTTTATCCGGTCTTGGCACCTGCCGTGGCAACCTCAGAGCTACTCAATTCACCCCAGGTAGTGTTCCCCAGGCAGTGTTCCGGCAGAATACCAAACGAACTCCTAAAGTACGGAGGACTAAATCTGACCAAACAACTATTAAAACTAATCCAAAAAATAATAGAACAAAACAGAATTCCTCAAGAATGAAGAACAAGCATCCTAATACCTCTGTTCATAAAGGGAGACAAATCGGACCCAGAAAACTACAGAGGAATTAACTTAGCACAACACTAAAATTAACAAACAAAGTGATAACAAATAAATTGAATGAAATTATGACACTAGCAGAAGAACAACAAGGTTTTAGGTCGGGAAGATCATGCACCGACGCTATATTTACCGACCTTACAAAGGCATTTGATCGGGTTAAAATAAAAGACGTTATCCACTTACTGTATGCAAGAGAGATACCTCTATTAATAATCAAAACCATCGAAATATCTACAAAAACAACACAATAAAAGTAAAAGTAGAAGAAGAACTAACCGACCCTATTGAAGCTGGCAATGGGATAAGACAGGGAGATTCCCTGAGCCCTCTATTATTCAACCTGATTATAAACGAAATAATAAAAAAAGTAAGAACTAAAAAAGGATACCAAATGGGAGAAAAACAACAAATAATCTGCAATGCAAACGACGCAATACTACTCCCTCAAAGTGAAGATGATTTACAACGTATGCTGCACCAATTTAATATAATCGCCAGAAAATTTAACATGTTAATTTCCTCACAAAAGACAAAATGCATAGTTATCTAGCTACGGAAAGCTCGAAACCGAAGTGGAAGATCAAATAAAACTTTTATCTAAATGAAACAATATGGAGAAATAAAAATATCGGGAAAGGAACGAAAGGCAGAATTTACAAAACAGTCATCAGACCAATAATGACATACGCGGCAGAAACAAGACCTGCCACAGAGAGAACAAAAAGGATGTTAGAAACAGCAGAGATAAAAACAGTTAGAAAAATTGATGGTAAGACACTATGGGACAGAGCTAGAAGTACAGATATACGAAGAAGATGCCAGGTGGAGAACATCAAGAACTGGGTAAAAAATAGAGGAGTATAATGAAATAATGATATAAGCCAAATGACAACAAAGACGGCAAGAGAGGATTCCTCAATAGGAAGACGATTAGTAGGAAGACCACGAAAACGATGGAACGACAACTTACTGGAGGCTCAATGAAAAACAGACCGAGTCATGCCTATATAAAAAGAAGAAGAAGAAGCAAAATATATAAATTCTAGTTACCAAACTGAACAATGGTTCAGTAAATAAAAAATATATTGTTTCATACTACAATCTGCAAAAGACAGTATGGGAGTTGGAAAAGTTAACATTAACACAATAAAAATATCACAGCAATAGTTTTACAGCGAAATCAAAGATTTGGCATACGAAAAGAGATAATCATACCTACATATCCTGGGAATAAAACAAATTACACCTACAGCGCCCACTTGATGCGCAGTAAAATTATGTTTAAAAATCAGGTAGACGAGTACCAGCGGTCATCCACTTCTTTATTCCCGAATGCTTTCTCTGTCTGCTCTTTACGCAGATGAAAAAAAAATTATAAAGCCGTTCCTAGACTTAACGAATAATACTAGAAATACAAAGTTGCATGAAACAACAGCAATTCTAAACCAATTTGCGTGAAAAGAAACCATTTTAAACGATTCGTCAGACACGGAACACGCCGTAGATGAAGCGCAAAGAAAAGTTTGGAAAATACAAAATTACTGAGAATAACTTTTAAGAATTATTCTCTGTAATTTTTTCTATGGATACATTATCATTGATTTACTTTTAGTTGAACTGATGATGTGTATGGGACCATTTACGAAACGTCTTCAATTAAGTATGAAGGAGAAAGCTCGTTTTGTTTTCTCAAACTTTGTGACCGATGACCATCCCACAAAAAATTTCCTGGTGAACTACATATTGTATTTTAATTAAATATATATTAATAATTATTAAATATGCATTTTTATCTGTTTGTAGTTCAACATCTCGCTAATGTGTTTTTAGAATACACTTCCACATTACTCACCTTAAACTACTTAAACTGACGGCTCTTTAAGTACTAACTTACCATTTCTGACAAATTCCACACCAAACGCCCTCATTGTTGTGGGATTAATCAAAACTCGTGTAACATGGGCATTTAAGGCTATGTGTATATTTTTTCTCAGTTTCACTGGCCTTAAAAAAGCTTTCGCTGTTGAGCATCTTGATCCTAAAAGCAATTTTTATATGTTATAATAATTAATTTCTTCATTTTGGCGCCGTGTTCTGAAAAGTAACAAAACAGTCAAGTTGTCAATCAAGTCAAATATACAGTTAAGAACACAGATTTTGGATTTTTCTTGCGAATAGTAGTTACATGGTGCCGATGTGAGCTTTTATCCCATTGGTGAATGCTCCCCTTCTTGAGGTTGAAAATAGTTAAACTTAAAATAAGTTCAGAAATCGATAGAAGAATCAATTTTAAGGAAAAATAATGTTTAATGGAGTTTTCTTAATAAGTCAATAGTTTTAGAGTTATATAAGGTCCAAAAATTTTTTTTTCCTAAAATGTTTGCATTATAAAATGCATATTCTCGGGAAGTTTTTAAAAAATTCAAAAGTATCACATTTTAACTGAAAAATAATAACAATTAAAAATAAAATTTTTTAATATAAATCAATTGTTTTTTGGATTACATTTAAATACAAATCTAGTAATAGATTATCACAAGTGACGGTTTATTCGAGTTAACTTGGAAGTAAATAATGAGCAATAACAAAAAAAGAAATGATTTTACGAAAAAAAAAAATGAATAAAATGAAAAAGAATTTAAAAAAGGTTTTATAAAGTATTTCATGAGACCCTAAAACGACCTTCTTAATATTGTTCTGAAGCTATTTTCTTGTGGCATTGTAAATTAATTACTATTAAACTGGGAATAAGCCACAATTAAAGATAAAAATACGTTTATTGACGTTTCAATTTCCACTTCGGAAATCGTTCTCAAAATACAAACAGTAAATTAAACATATTTTGTTTTTTTTTTGTTTTTTAAACGACCCATTATAAAAGTAACTGTAATGAAAAGTAAATAAAAAATATTGTGAAAATAAAGTGATTATATTAGAGTTTTAAAATACTCTGAATTAAAACTCATGCGTTTTCCAAAAAAATTAAATTGCACAATGCACTAACAATATATTCTAAAAGTTTGTGATCAGTTTAAAATGCTTTGATTTAAAAAAAATTGATTTACCTTGAAAACAATTTTTGAAATTAAAAAAAATTCTTCTTTTCAAAATAATATAAAAACTATAGGAAATATGACAAGAAACATGAATACAAGAATAAAGTATTTTTTACCGAAAGTTTTAATGTGTTTTTAATTTTTTCAAGATGTTTAAGTTTACATTTAATTGTGAAAGGTACCTTTTGAGTTCTTAAACCATATGCCCTTAAAAAAGATGGGCTCAAAAAGTTTATCTTTACACATCTTGTAGCCCTAAAAAATGTCCTGTAAAATAAGGCTTGGTTAGGGCCAGATAGCTCAGGCGGTAGACTGTATGACTTTCATACAGGAGGTTGTGGATCGATTATCAGCGCCGAAGAACACATCTTCTTCTTACGAGTGCCGTCTCCCTACGGAGGTTGGTAATCATAATGACTATTTTTATTTTTGAACTTTCTGCTCTAAACAAATCAATCAATCTGCATTGATACGAATCACGTAGATTCTTTAACCATGAGTTCTGCCTTCGGCCAACACATCTTCCTTGAATCTTTCCCTGAATTATGAGTCTCAAAATTTCATATTTTGGTCTCCTCATCACTTGGCCTAGATATTCCAGTTTTCTGGTTTGTATGGTGGTGATTAGTTCTGTTTTTTACCAACCCTTACCAGTACTTCTTTATTTGTAATTGTATCAGTCCATGATATTTTTAATACTTAGCGTTATAACCAGAGTTCGAAAGCCTCGATTCTGTTTAAATTGCATTTTTTTATTATCCAAGTCTCAGCTCCATATAATAATATTGAAAATATATAACAGCGAATGGTACGTAGTCTGATCTCCAAATTTAGAGTTTTGCACGTTAGGAGTGGATTCATTCGTATAAATGCTGATCTGGCAATCCCTACTCGCCTGTTCTTTCTGCAGTATAATCATTGGTTTTATTGATCAAAGTTTCCGAGTACTGATATGTTTCTACTTGTTCTATCACGTTACCCTTGATTGTCAATAGGTTATGTATATTTTGTGGTCTTTTTGTAATTAGCATGAACTTCGTTTTTCAGCGTTTATATTAATTCCCATCTCAGCATTATTCATACTTAAGCTTTCGATAAGATGTTGTAGATCTTCTATACTCGTTGCTATGATTACAGTGTCGTCTGCATATCGTAAGTTGTTAATTAATTTTCCGTTAACGGTAACTTCTGCATTGATATTATTGAGCGTGTTTTGAAAAATTTCTTTAGAATATAAGTTAAATAAAAGTGGCGATAAAACATATCCCTATCTAACTCTAGAACACATGTAGAAATTTTTAAATATCTAGATAGGCGGGGTAGACTTAGCCTGGAATAAAATGAGTACATTGGGTTAAAACCAGGGGTAAGTATAGGCGGTTGTAGACTAGCGCTGCTAAAAAAGCTCATCTTATTATCCATACACAAGCACCAAAATGCAGTAAATGTAATATATACCAATAACAATAAAACATGTGTATTATTTATACACAAGCACCAAAATGCAGTAAATGTAATATATACCAATAACAATAAAACATGTGCTAACACTACTACTACTATCGGGTTACAGCGTTCTCCGATGCCTTCCGACACCTAACCGCCATTCTTCTCTATTCAACCATAGGCCTGGAGGGATTTCTCTTTCCTCTAGTTGTTTTTCAATTTCCTCTCTCCAGCTTCTTCTCGGTCTTCCTCTTTTCCTTCTTCCTTGTGGTGTCCACTTCAAAATCTGTTTTGGAATCCTGTCATCTGGCATTCTCTGTACATGGCCGTACCATATTAACTGTTTTGTTTTTATGTCATCAACTATTGTATGCTTGACTCCCATCATTTCTCGTATTCTCTCATTTGGTATCCGATCTCTTCTTCTAGTCCATTTTTGTTGCTAGTAACAGTTTCTCTGTTCTTTGTTTCATTGGCCAAACTTCACTGCCATATGTGATTACACTTTTAAGTATGGTGTTGTATATGAGTTGTTTGTTCGATTTAAATATTGTTTGGTCCCACAGAATGCCGTTCATCATGCATATGGCTTTTCTACCCTGTATGTTTCTGTCTTTTATAGCAGCATCGAGTGTTCCATCTTGAGTTATCTTCATACCCAAGTACTTGTATTCATCACAGTTTCTAATTTCTACCCCATCGTCTAATATAATGGACTGTTTTGTCCCTCCAATACATGGCTTCAGTTTTCTTAATGTTGACTTTGAGACCCCATTTGTTATATTCTTCTATTAGCTTCCGAGTCATGTAACTCAAGTCGTCATGATCCTGGGCAATCAATATTTGGTCATCAGCGAAACATAAGGTGTACAGTGTAGTCTCGTCATTAAGAGGGATTCCCATGCCATTACATTTTCTTTTCCATAGCTTGAGTGATTGTTCCAGATAAATTTTGAAAAAGTAGGCGAAATACACCAACCCTGCTTTAGTCCTTTCGTGAAATTAAATCCTTCAGATATCCTTGATCCAGTTTTAATCTTTGCAGTCGTTCCATTATACAGACTTTGGACTGCTTTGATAAGATCATGCTTAATGTTGGCTTGCTGTAGGGTTGACCATAGTTTACTTAAGGGTACACTATCATATGCTTTTTGTAAGTCTACGTATACCAGGTGAACTTCTTTATTGAAGGCTGTTTTTTGCTCAATAACTTGCGTAATAGAGTACAGGTGGTCTACTGTGGATCGCCCAGCTCTAAAACCAGCTTGCTCCTCTGCTTCGTAATCTTTATAGTCATTTTCTATTTTGTTCTTAATAAGTTTCCCATACATCCTACATATTGTGATGTTTACCGCAATTCCTCTGTAATTTTCACACTGATCCTTGCTGCTCTTTTTGTGGATAGTTGACATGATAGATAATTTCTATGTGCTAACACAATATGATTAATTTGACGCTTACAAACAATCGATCGATATCTGGATATTCAAACGATATTCTGAATATTGTTCTGAAGCTATTTTCTTGTGGCATTTTAAATTAATTACTATTTAACTGGGAATAAGCCACAATTAAAGATAAAAATACGTTTATTGATGTTTCAATTTCCACTTCGGAAATCGTTCTCAAAATACAAATAGTAAATTAAACAAATTTTGTTTTTTGTTACATAGTGAAAAATTCTTCTAATAATTTAATTTTATCTGACTCATTTATATTGACAATTCAGATATACATTATGCATTTTAAAGTAGACGACTTTAAAATGATATTGCCAATATTGTTGAGTTGCGCTCCTGGGACGACTTTACGGAAATTGAAACGTCAATAAACGTATTTTTATCTTTAATTGTGGCTTATTCGCAGTTAAATAGTAATTGATATTCTGAATCTTCAAACCGACTGTAAATCTCTTTTGCAATTCCTTAGGGTGGTTTTTAAGTGTTTAAAAATGGATGTGTAATAAGATATGTTACACAGTATAAACAAATATTTAGTTAACCTATTTAAATGCTTAAATAAAAAATGCTTAAAGTACTATTTTTTAATTTTTTATCAAAAAGGGGTAGTTTTCACAAACAATAAAAAACACACTTTTTAATCATATAACATTTAAAGTGGAGCGTGAGACAAGCTTACTCGCAATTTTTTATTGCAAATTATTTTTTTTTTATTGAAATCGGTGCGTTCTTTGAAGTCCGGAGGATTTATTAGCTTTTAATTACAGAAGACTCTGCTAATGTACCTCGCTGCTGTCATAGAACCACAACCATTTCAGAACAACTTCATCCACAAGAACCAAGCTTTACACTTTCCCAAAGTATGACTGGGCCTTCGTGAGTCATCGAATAAGTGTCTATCAGCTTCCATCCCCATTTATTACAAATATGATACCAAAAATCGCGTATTGCTTTTTTTAAGGGCAACATCATGATTTTGTTGATCTTTTGTGACAGTCATATTATTATATTGTCGTATAGATAACATTTCTAGAGGCTCAAATAAGCTTCTGTAAAATATTCATGTTTCATTTCAGCATTTTTTGTTTCAACGAACTGTTTGGCGGAACTTTTAAGAAATAAAAATTGTTAATTTATAACAACTATTTGTTTAATACTCTCCTATAATCTTCCTTTTTCCTGATAATTAATAAGAAGGCAAATTGGCAGGAATGTAGAGCGACAATATAAGCTAAGTGATTTTGCTTCTCTTTTTTTGACTATATGCATTTTGGTTTTTTTACATCTTTTTTTTTGAATAGGTTTAGTCTACCTGTAATTGTTTTTAATCTTCTTATATCTCGAAATAGACTAGGTGGCGCTCTTTATTTTTCTCCTTTCTTTCAGTAGCAAATTCTTTAATTTTCATTGTTTAATTTTAATTCCCCATTTTTTTTATAAATATACCCCCATCTCAGATCTATAGACCCACGTCCAAAAGTTCACCGTTGGGTATTTAAAAAACCTGAGTGCCGGTTGGCAAGGTGAACTAACTTGCACCTGGATTTCCTATTCTGTTTTAATCCTCTACTTCCCATCCGGACAAGTATAGTTACATCAACGAAACCACACCCCTTACTTATTGTTATTAGTGTTGGATCAAATAGAAAAATTTCAAAATGTCATTCCTTACCGTTTAAAGATGTGGTGGAGACTGGAACAATGGAGATCAGCTCTTGAAGAAAACACTTTAAAACTTATTAGAATAAAAATAGATTATCTAAAATCTTCATTTAAAAGTGGAGTTAGCTAGATGGATGAAATAAAAGAAGGCGAGTAATCTGTTGTGCGACAAAAAGATTTCAGTGAAATTGAAAGGTAAATTCTATAAAACAGTTTCAAGACCAGCTATACCATGAAGGCACTGAATGTTGGACAGCTAAAAAGATAGAAGAACAAAGAATGCATGTGGCAGAAATGAGAATGGTTAGAAAGAAACAAGGATCAGCGATCAGGAATTAGTTTTTAGGGGAAGTCTAAAGATAGAGAGGAGGATAAATATTAAGAATTATAAAGGTAAATAAAAAGAACGTATAGAAACGAAACAGATAAGGAGGCTGAGTAGAAACTGCCGAGAAAAAATAGGAAGAGTAATAGAAAGCAAGAAAAGAGGTAAATAATTCTTAACATTAAAAAACTACTAAACAATAAATACCTCTTCTGATAGTGCCTTGTGCTATCATAAACCCAGCCTGATCAGCGCCGTTGATATCTCTTACGGGGTAACCCATCTCCAATCCAGCTTCCAGAAACGCTACCACTAACGGTGTCCTCCATGGGGATTCCTGTACAGTCAATAGACCTCCTTTGCTATGGTAAGGCGTTTTTGCTAGATACGGGTTTCTGTTGTCTTCTGATCTCTTAAAGTATTTTAGAACGTTTTCGTAATTCCACCCAGGGTTACCTAAAAGAACAAAAAATTATTAGTTATTTACTAGTATATATTAAACTATAGGCCTTCGTAGCTTTCACTTAAGAATTATTTTTATGTGAGGTATTAGCAAATTCTAGGATTTGCCTTAAAAATCGTCAGTTTTTATATTTACATTTATTTTTCTTTAATATAGTATATATTTTTATTTATTATACATCTTTTTTTAACTGTTGACATCCAATACCTGATTGGTATTAAGTTGTATCTCAAATATCTGCCAGCTTATCAATGTGCTTTGCATATGCATCTATTTATTTTTTTCTCCTTCTGACCCATTTTACTAAGATTTGCAACTTTATATGAGAGATTATATTTCTCGGGAGTTTATGTTAAACCGACCCGTTGCGTCCCCCTTTTGAATTCCATAATGTATCCGTCGATATACAACTTGCTCCCTGAGAGATCCTGAACGCCACGTGTGAATCTTGAACCTCCCAAAAATCTCACACTCCCAGAGAATTCGTATCTCAGACAGCTATTACAAGTAGATTACAGTATTCCATCAGTTAATTCGCTAAAGGTATTGAATAATTGAATAGCTTCCCAGGCATCGTTATTTCTCGTTTCCGTTTCTGCTACTAATACCTTTGTCTGACTGGATACCGTCACCTGCATGGCGTTATTACCTCTCTCTCTTTAGTCCTGAACCTACGGTGGAAGTGTAGTGGTCATCGTGATGCCGTCTCCAAAGCTCTCTGTCTCTGGTTATTTCTTTTAACTCATACGTAGGTCTTTTGCATATTCCTGTAATTTGGTCGATCCGTCTTGGTCGTCTCTCCGTCATGCTAATTGGGCTTCTATTAACTACGTAACAATATCTGCCATACAATTAGTGAAGCATCTTGCTATTCACCGTTTCCTCAAGGTTTATTTACTGCATTTTAGTGCTAAGGCTAGAGTTGAAACTATGGTTGTCATTGAGTTGATGGCTGTCTGACTGTTAGAATAGATACAGCCAGAACTTTTGAAGCCCGTGGCAAAGCTGCCTTTTCTTCTTTTACCTTAAACCTTCAACATATTTTTCGAACCTAATTTAGTAATATTATGGCATCCCTCTGCCTTACGACCGATGTCTAGTTTAAATGATTCTCGGAGTAAGACATGACGCCACAAGTAACTGGATCGCAGGTGGGAGTTTAATGACCCAGAAGCAAGAGCCCCAGCATTACTCTCTCGAGGAATCTACACTATTGAAGGGGGGCCTCGAAACTGGTTGAACATTACCGGGAGTTCCGTGGAAGATTCTCGATAACTTATTATGGGTACATATATATTTCACTCAAACTGTTACTGCAAGTAACAGTTTCTTTTTTCTTTTCGCGCCTAAACGATGCCAATAGGGTTATCATCTTCGGTTTACAGTCTTCTGGTGGCATATCCATTCTCACCTATTTCGCGCCATGCATCATCTTTTAAGTGTTTGCGAATAATCGCGGTCTTTCGGATACCACAGTATTCTCTTTTTCTGATATAAGTCAATAAACTTACACTGAGCCATCATGGAAAATTTCGGATTCACGTCGAAAAATATAGACTAAATTCAAACTAGGAACAAGACACAAATTCGATGCGACTGCATGAACAGACAATATCGCTACGAACACCGTCCAAATTGAACTCCGATAACCTTTGTATTCGTCCCAAAAACCGGCAGGTCGTGGTTCATGACGAGTGACGAACGAACACCTCGCAAGCGGTTCGTCCTAGACCGTACAAATAATAAGCCGTAGATACACATTACACATGCCTGTTACTAGCACAATGGCATACCAGTAGCAAGCACCAGCTACTGTCACCGAACTGGTAAGTGTGTACGTTAACTGGCATGCTAGCTAATCGCAAAGAATTGATTTTTCTTGCTAGTAGCATGCTGTGAGATGTAAGGGGCATGAGTGGGGCGTGTAACTGGCATGTGTGAACGCGCGCTACCGCTACGGGCATTCCCACGATACACTTACAAGTGTATGGTGGGTGTATCGTACTTGTAAGTGTATCGTGGGCATGCCAGTAGCTATGCTCGGACAAGATATTGAAGACGGTGACGCATACATTTGCACGGATTGCAAATTGGCAAATCTGGCGAGTGTCAGTAGCGTACTGTAGTGCACAGTGAGGGTATGTGATTTTTGATACGATATTATAGTGAATAATGGAAAGTTTCCACTGGAAACTCGTAGATATAGAATTCTATTATTATTGTTAACGCATTGTAAAATTTAATACAAAAACATTAAGACTTAGATGTCTAATAAAAAAAATCAAGAATTAATTAATATATTGTAATAAAGCAAAACCATTACATAATACTTGACTTTTATTCGAAAAGTCAGTAATTAATTATTGTATTATCAATTTTTTTTTAATTAAGAAAATTTCGAAAAATATATAGAACGGGAGTCAAATAATTTTAAAAAGGGTCCGGACACTGTTAAAACTTTTATCGCCATATTTAAGTTAAGGTAAGAAATATTGTTCATTATGTCCTTTAAATTTTTGTTCAAGTTTACTGGGTGATAAAGCAACATTAAATAATAAAAATACTTTATTTGACATTTCATTGACATTGCTTAATACAGAAGTTAAAACATGTTAATAAATAATAAAATTCGGCAATATTAATGAGAGTATATTTTCGTCTTTATGGAAATAAAAATGGATGCAGCTACTGGCGCAAGTACCACAAAATCTCATCGGCACAAGCCACTCTCAAAAGCTGAGAAATAAATCGCGTGGAAAGTGTATGATGTACTCAAGAAAACACATCCTACAATGGAAGCTGCAGATCGCTATTTGATTTTAACAGTGGTGTCAGCCTCGACAGTGGAGCGGATTGTGCGTGAAGTAAAAATCACAGAAATTTTAAGTGCGCCAAAAACTCGCCAGCGTGGGGAAAACCTCCCGATTTAAACGAAACGCAAATGAATTTAATCTGGAGGACTGTGCATACATTATTTTTAGAAAATAAGCCTCCAACGATCAAAAAAGTTAAGGCCAAGTTACTGGAAAACGATATGATTCCTCCAATGAGCCGTGAAACCCTAAGAACAGTTTTACATAAGTTGAATTTTCGGTGTATGAAACGGTCTTGGCAATCAATTCTAATAGATAAAGAGGAAATATTATCATGGCGACGAAGATATCTGCGCACTATTAGGGATTATCGTGTTTCTAAAAGGAAACTTTATTATCTTGATGAAACTTAGATTAACGCCGGGCATACAGTTTCCAAAATTTGGCATGAAGCGACTGTAAAAACTCCTCGACAAGCAATTATAGAAGGCTTATCAATAGGGTTACGAGCACCATCAGGCAAAGGTCAGCGTCTTATTGTAGCTCATATCGGTAGCGATACAGGTTTTCTGAAAAACAGTGCTCTCGTTTTTGTATAAAAGAAAACTGGCAACTACCATGAGGACATGGACGCTGCATGCTTTGAAAAATGTTCGAAAACGTTCTTCAGCATATCGAACCTAATTCAGTGGTAGTATTAGACAATGCATCGTACCATAGCCGACTTGTTAAAGAAATTCCTAATGTGAGTGACATAAAAGCAGTTTTACAAAATTGGTTAAGGGAAAAATCCATTCCGTACGGCGAGGATATGGTTAAAATGGAGCTAATGACTATTATTAGACAACATCGTGGTACATAGGTATTGTCAACATGTAATAGATACAATGTCTAGACTTCATGGCATTACCGTCTTAAGAGTATCACCTTATCATTGCGAATTAAACCCAATAGAATTAATTTGTGCACAAATGAAAGGATATGTAGCTCGGGAAAATGTCACTTTTAAAATTGGTGATGTCCAGCGCCTCTAGCAAGCCAGTTTGGACAATATACATTCAATTGATTGGAAAAATGCGATAAGTCATGGTATTAAAGTAGAAGCCGATATGTGGAGGTTGGACGCCATGGTGGATAATGTTATTGAGCCTGTGATAATACATTTAGGATCAAATGATTCAGACAATTCAACAGACACTGCTCATTTAATGTAGTGCCAAGGTACGTGTATTTTGGCACACGTTCTACTACTTTTTGGTTGATGGTAAACTGTACCCTCTCAATTCTTTCTTTGCTGATTATCATGACTTTAGTTTTAGAAGTGTTAATTTTTAGAAGTCCATATTTGCTACTAACGTCTAAGTCCCTCTTGTTCTATAAAGGTGACAACTTGATTCTTTATTAACCACGTAAATTCATTTTTTAAGAATTTTACAATATCTACAACATAATCCATTATTCTAAGGGATACTAAATATTTATGTCTATGCGGATACACCACTGATTGATGGAATGTATATATTTTATGACTTTATTTCGGATATCTGATATGCAACAAATTAATTACTTAAAAGTAACACGCGTACTGTAAGGGCAATCAGAAGATTTTCAAGCGGTTACAATCGGTGTTTAGGTCTTGTAAACCTCATATTATAAACTCCACCTGGTACAGTATTTTGACCAAAATTAAATGATGAGTGAAAATGAGTCACCGTCTTCATTTTCTTGTCCGAGTTTAGCAGAGAATTGTCAGTTTTGTTGTATTGATGATGAAAATTAATCGTTTTATTTTTAACTTGTTAATTAAAAAAATGTTTCGTTAGAGTGCTATATATAGAAAATTGGAGTGTCTTAAATTCTAAATTATGTTTACATAAAAATAAAATAGCCCGTGACAATGCTTACACAAAAATTTAAGAGAAAATGGGTGAAGATATTACTATAAAGGAGATAGAGGCCAAATAAAAAAATTGCTCCAAGATTTTCTCGCCTACCAATTCAATTTCTCACCCATTTTTTGAGTTCTGCTGCGAATTCATTATTAAATTTCTAACAATATTTCTGGTGATCTCTAGCAATATTTGCTTTTTGAATTAATTCCGAATACCTTCCACGAATCCCCCTTTTTTTTTGTTAAAAACTCAAAACCTTTTAATTATAAAGCAAGTACTTTAGTTTCAGATGAAAATCACTCGAAAAGCGAGCTACTGGCATGCTAATTACTAGCAAATGTATTTTGTGCTTGCCAGTTACTGGCCTATGCCAGCAACTGGCATGCCAGCTACTTTCCCAAATTACTGGCATGTGTGTACACGTCTATACGAATATAGCGTTCGCGAAAAGTTCTGCTCGCATATGTGTACCCACCTTTTCAATATAAATATATGTAATACGATTTAATTCTAAACTTTAGTTTTGAAATATATAGCGCGTCGTTGTCGTTAAATAAATTGTAATATAAATTAATTTTAGTGTAAATAAATTAGTGTTAGAATAACTGTATATAAACTAAATAATAAAGACTAAATAAAATTAGTCCTTAGCACGTTTTAATAATAAATAAAATAGTGTAATAATAAATTAAAAAATCGTTAATAAAGATAGTAAAAACGTAACAGGAATATAGGCAGTCGCCAGGAGCACACTTGTTGCCATTAATTTTGAACCTATTTATAGTATTTATATTATTTTCCTATAATAAATTTGTAAGAACAAATTTTTTATCTGATTAAATTCACGATTGGTATTTACTTCTGCAGCATATTTGTCAACTTTATAAAAGAGCTATAAAAATCAATCGAATTTATCACAGTGTGCCATCTATGGGTTAAAATAAAATATTTTTAACTTACTCCCGTATAACAAATTAATAATTAATATATAAACTTTACCTAATTGCTTCCAATAATCATAATCGTTTTTGTTTCCTCTCACATACAGCATATAATTCAAAACACTGGATCCCCCAAGAACTTTCCCCCTCGGCCAATTACATTGTCCGTTTTTCATGCCGAGACACGCTCTGCCGGTGTACTCCGTCTTGTAGGTCCAATCCATCTTAGAAAGTTGTAGGTAAGCCGCCAACGATGGAACGTCACTGATTTCGTTCTCGTCGTAGCCTGCTTCCAACAATAAAACCTAAAAGTTGAAAAATAATAAATTTTACACAAACACAAAAATGTGACAACATAAGGGAAATCCTTAACACAATAACAATCATCATCTAGTTTTCTGATCTGAGAGTCTCTCCTAATTTCTTTCAATTCTGTCGGTCTTTGAGCTTTCTCCATCCAATTCCCAGCGATTCTTTTGACTTCGTCTGTCCATCGCCCAGGTGGTATACCTATACTTCTTCTATCTACCCGTGGTATCCGTACTGTCATTTTTTGGTTTTTTGGGTCCACCGCCCGTCATTAATTCTGGCTACATGACCCGCCCAGTTCCACTTTAGCCATGCTATGCTTCTTCTTCTTCTTCTTCTTCGTCTAGCCATTCACGTCCACATCTGAACATAAGCCTCTTCAAGTCTTCTCTTCCATTGTTTTTTATTGTACGCTACTTGTAGCCATTTTTCCCGGCAGTCCTTTTCAGATCATCTGTCCATCTCATAGGATGTCTGCCTCTGGGTCTTTTGTGTTGGTATGGTCTCCAGGTTAAAATTGATCTGTGCCATTTGTTTAGATCGCTCCTAGCTACATGTGCAGCATATTCCCATTTCAACTTTAATGATTTTTACACCACATCGGTGACTTTGGTTTTCTGTCTTATCCATGTGTTTGTTTTCTTGTCCTTACGTGATATACCTAGCATTGCTCTTTCCATCGCGTGTTGAGTGACTCTAAGTGTATTCATATTATAAATTATTATACCGTATTTGCCTAACTACCACATACTTTTCATGGGAAGACCAAATTTATGAACAGATGGATGGAGTAGCAATGGGAAGCCCACTAAGCCCGGTCGTAGCCAACCTTTTCATGGAGCATTTAGAGAAGAAGATAATGGACTCAGCATACAAGCCTAGGGTATGGTTCAGATACGTTGATGACACCTTTGTGATTTGGGGTCACGGAGCAGAAAAACTAAACGATTTCCTGGCTTATATAAATACACTACATCCAAATATTCAATTTACGATGGAAACAGAAAATGCTCAACAACTAGCGTTCCTGGATGTATTAATAAATCGAAAGGAAGGTCACTTAGGACATAAAGTGTATCGAAAACCTACACACACAGACAGATACCTAAACAGAACCTCAAATCATCATCCTAGCCAAAAACAAGGTATCATCAAAACCTTGGCAGAGAGGGCGAAGAGAATTTGTGAACCACAACATCTCCAAAGTGAACTTCTTTATATTAAAAAAGCGCTCACCTCTAATGGGTACACCAGAAGAGAAATACACAAGGCGATGAACAACGTATCTAGAAGAAGGGACGAAGAAACAGAATGTAAAGGGAAAGCGTTCTTGCCCTATATATCGGGGGTAACGGACAGAATTGGGCGAATACTCAAAAAAGCCAACATAAAGACCATCTTCAGACCTACAAAGAAGATCAAGGATTGTTTAAGATCGGTAAAAGACAAACGCGACCCATTAGCAACGGCCGGAGTATACCGAATACCATGCACATGTGGAATGGTATATGTGGGAACCACAAAAAGACACACCAACACCAGGATAAATGAACATAAAAGACATTGTCGTTTAGGACATATCGACAAATCTGCCGTTGCCGAACACGCTTTGGGAAGCGGAGAACATCGAATACCATTTGAAGAAACACAGATGCTGGACAAAACTTCACAGTACTACCCACGGTTATATCGGGAAGCGGTGGAAATATACAAGCACCCAAACAATTTCAATAGGATAGAAGAAGGACTAAAAATCAACAAAACTTGGATACCAGTATTAAAATCCACAAACGCCCTTCCCGCCAAACACGGAGATAGAAAAGCTACTATAATCAACGACACGCCCCCTCAAGCCGAAACCAGTGGAGGGGAGGCGAGTGGGAATTATAAATATTGCCTCCGTAGTACAACGCGTCGTCAGTTTCTGCTTACAAGCGAAGCATCAACATCTCCAGAAGATGCCAACCCCTAGTGTTGGCGAAACGTCGAGAACTAATCTCAACAGAAGACAACGGCCCAACAGCCCGAATAAACAGTTTAATAAGTGTATTCATATTCTTTTTTTTGTGATTGTCCATGTTTGTGCCGCATAAGTTAATATCGGGATAATGCATGCATCAAAAAATTTAGATCTAAGATGTAATTGAATTTGTTGATTTCTGAGTATATAGTTCAGTTTACCGAATGCTGCCTAAGCCAACTTTCTTCTTCTTTTTATTTCTTCAGTTTGAATTTCCCTATTTAGGATTATTTTTTGTCCTAAGTATATATCGATGGCTTGGTTCCAACAGTGGCTAACTACAAAATCGTCGTTTTCGGTTAAACGAAATTATAAGTTTAACCCTGTCTTAAAGTTCTTGATCGTCTTGAATTTTCCTTAGTTTCGATCCTTCTTTTGCAATCTCTAACTTCTACTAAACTATTTATAAAATCACTCTTGAGTTGTTATCAACAGGTCCTCGAAGACACTTCGTCTCAGGACCATTTTACCTATGTAGTACATGAACTTAGTTTCCTAGTGGAATTCTAAATTTAATATTTTTCCGTTCTGGAACTCATTTTACAACAACACTAACAAACACTAAATTACACCTGAAATAAGTAGATACTCTATAAACTCGGTATTCTTGTAATTACAACAAACACTGATAATAATAATTAAATTTAATTATAGGTTATAATAAAACAAATGGCGCTAACTTCACATATATCGAAAGATGTCCCTTCCAAAGGTGGCTATGTGTTATTAGCTACTTATGGAATTGCGAACTACGTTCATTGTGTACATAGATACTAATAGTTTCATTAATTCTGGCGCCAATTTTAAAATTAATGCAATTCTCCATATTTGGAACAAAACTTAAAGTAATTATGCGGTATACTGTGTAAATAGCCCAAAAATGGAAAAATTGTAGTTAGCCACATTTGGAACCAATCCATCGATATATTCTTCAACTTTTTCTATAACTTTATCGTTTATTCTTGTCATGGTGTCTTCGGAGTGCATGACTTTTGTTTTGTTTAAATTTATTTTCAGTCCTATTTTAGAAGGTTCGGTATGTAGTTCTAAAAGCATGGTTTGCATTTCTTGTAGGTCAGTAGCTATCAGGATTATGTCATCTGCAAATCGTAGATTACTGAGGTAGCGGCCATTGATGTTTATTCCGTTATATTTCCAATTTAGGTTTTTAAAAACGTCCTCCAAAACTAAGGTGAACAGTTTGGGTGATAAAGTATCTCCCTGTTCGACTCCCCTGTTTAATGGTACAGGGTTCGTGTGTTCATTTTCATTTAAGTAGTATGTAGCTGTAGCTTGGTTCATAGTTTCTTTTATTAAGTTAATATATCTGCTGTCTATTCTACAATTTTGCATTGCGTTTATTACGGCCGTGTGTTCTATGGTATCGAAAGCTTTTTCGTAGTCTACAAATGCCATGCTATGCTATGAAAATATTAATAAAAATGTGCTTCGTTGGCTAACACCTCAAAGAAAAGTCAATTATATCATTTTGTAACCGGCAGCGATGATGCACTTTGAGCTACGTGATCCACCTCGATCACATTTACCATAGAAGAAAAAAAATTATGTATCGTTAAAATTCTTATTCCGTTAGAACACCTGACTCAACAAATTCCACAGCAAATACAAATTGAGTATATACAAATATAAGGCTTCTTCTTATTCCTCTTTATAACCAATTCTGCTTGTTCTGCTTATAATACTATGTTCTACTAACTTACAAATATAAGTAATATAACGTATGAGGCTTGGCCGTTTCGGACAAGCCCATATCCATGCAGCCCATACCAAACAATTCGATTGGATTGAGATTAGGATGATATTCTGGCAGTCTTAATATACGTATCTTACGAACCTAGACTTATTGATTTTGATCAACTCTTAAAAATCAGGACGGAGCATGTTATCATCAAATGAAATGTTTGTATATCTTAACCATATTTTCATGTCTTATTTTGTTTGTCAATTCCAACTTAGGTAGGAACCTTTCCCTGACTGTTGTCTGATAATATTTTAATGCAGCTCAAACCAAAAAATTCGATTGGACTGAGATCTGGATGATATTCTGGCAGTCTTAATATACGTATCTTACGAACCTAGGCTTATTGATTTTGATCAACTCTTAAAAATCAGGACGGAGCATGTTATCATCAAATGAAAATGTTTGTATATCTTAACCATGTTTTCATGTCTTATTTTGTTTGTCAATTCCAACTTAGGTAGGAACCTTTCCCTGACTGTTGTCTGATAATATTTTAATGCAGCTCAAACCAAAAAATTCGATTGGACTGAGATCTGGATGATGTGCTGGCAGTCTTACAATACACGTATCTTACAAGCCTAGACTTTACGATTTTGATCAAATGTTCATTGTCAGGCCGAAGCATGTTATCATCCGAAATGTTTGTATCTCTTAACCATGCTTTCGTGTCTTATTTTGCTTGCCATTTCCACCTTACGTATGAACTTTTCCCTGATGGTTGTCTTCATCAAGGCTTTCTTAAATATTTCTTTTAAATATAAGTTAAAGAGTGTAGGCGATAGCATACAGCCTTATCTCACTCCCCCTTTTATATTTATTTTATGTGACAGATATTGTTTAGCTTTTATTCTTGCCAGTATAGATTTGTAATTATTTGTACTTGATGCCAGTGTAGATTTGTAATTATTCGTAAATTTTTGTGGTCCAGACCAGTTGTTTTTAATATTTCTAGCATTTTGTTTTGTAGGACATTGGCAAAAGACTTTTCAAAATCTATTACACGATGATTTATATCTCTGCGCCTCTGTATCAGTACTTGGACATTAAACAAGGCTGTTCCCGTACTTAAATCTCTCTTAAATCCGAATTGGGCATTGCTAATTATCTCCTGCGGTGTTATGTCTTTTCTACCCTGTTATATGGGGTTGAGGCTTGGACACTAAAACAGTTGTCCATAAAAAAACATCGAAGCTTTCGAGATGTGGTGCTATAGGCGCATTCTCAGAATATCATGGATGGACCGCGTCACTAACACGCAAGTACTCCAAACTTTAGACAAAAGATGCGAAATTCTAAATGAGATAAAAACTAGAAAGATGGAATACTTTTGGCACATTGTGAGAGGTGAAAAGTACGAACTTTTAAGAAACATCATGCAGGGCAAAATTAAGGGCAAAAGAAGTGTGGGAAGAAGAAAAATATCGTGGCTTCGTAATCTACGTGAATGGTTCGGGTGTAGTTCGATTGAACTTTTTAGGCGCGCTGCTAACAAAGTCGCAGTGGCCATGATGATTTCCAATCTCCGCTAGGAGTGGCACGAGAAGAAGAAGAATTATCTCCTCTAATATCTCTAATATCGTGTATATTCGGCTATGTATTACTTGAAAGAAGATTTTTAAAACGTGACTCATCAGACTTATTGTCCGATAAATACTACATGTCTTTGCACGATGTATCTTTGGTATTGTGACAAATTTCGACTTAGCCAATCAGTTGGTAATATTCCAGTATCATAAATTCTTTTAAAGAGACCATGCAGTACCTTAATTTTTTCCACTCCATTCCATTTTGTCCCAACATCCTTAGTATTTCAGCATTCACTTTATCGGGAAAAATGCTTTTCCATTTTTTAGTAGTTTCTCCATTCTTTTATCTGTTTATTGATATCTAATATTCTGTTTCCGTTTTTGTCTTTTAAACTTTGGTATAATTGTTTCCGATTGTTTCCGGTGATCTTTTAATTTCTTGTGCAGAATTTCATAGTGCCCATTTTCATTATATTCTTTTCTAGTTCGGATGTTTTATCTTCTGCCTGATTATTGCGTGAATCCTTTTGTATTACTTGTCTTCTTTGGTCTATGAGTTCAGTATTTCTTCTGTCCTCCACCCTTGATTTCTTATTGTGTTTACTGCACTTAATTTTGTTTCTTGAACGTTCTTTAATATATCTTTAATTCTCGTTCAGTTTTCCTCAGTACTTTCCTCTTTGCTTGATGTCAACTTTATTTTTGTTCTAATACATTTTTATTTCTTGTTTTTCGGTATCATTTGACATCGTTCCTCAAACAATAAAAGCTGTTTTCTTATTCGTCCTTGTAACTCTTTTTAATCTCTGTCTTATTTTTCCTACCAAAATATTGTGATCTGTGGTTACACCTGCACTTGGATATATTTTGACTGCTAATTATGAATTTCTGTATCTTTTATTTAAACATATGAAGTCTGGTTGGCTACGAACAACACATTCAGTTGTATCTTCTGGTGACCTCCAGGTGAAAAGACGCTTTGGAAGTTTAAAAATTGTGTTTGTTATTACTAGTTGCTTTTCTATACAACAATATGCCAACATATCTCCTCTTTCAGTTTTAATTCCCAGACCATATTTTCCTATGATATCTTCTTGTTCTCCTCGCCAATCTTAGCATTAGAATCTCCAATGGCAGTATTGAGTTCGTGTTTCTTTGTAGATGCCAATACTTTTTCTAAATCATGATAGAATTTATCTTGGGCTAGTGTAAAGAAAATGACATGTCACAAGAAAATAAATCTAAATCTGGCTAGTAAAGTAAAGTACCTTGGACTAATACTAGACTCTTTGCTTACTTGGAATCAGCAGATAGAACGAATAACCAAGGTAGCGATATCTACCTTAATGGTTTTGCTTCCTTAGGAATACAGGGGCCCTAAGTGGCACGCCAACAGCAGATACACCTCTCTTCTGTGCACCCGTGTAAGGGGGAAGAAGAGAATGGGATATTACAGAGCGAAAAAATCTCAGTAATGCAATGTTTAGATCAATACACAGTCATATCGTTAATGAAAGTAGAAGTACCGTATAGATAATGATTGCTATCCTTATTGTACCTAGATACAGGCCTAAGTATATTCCCAAGTGGACATCTGTATACGAAAGGAATGTGGCAGAGAAAACACAGAACCATGCAATGTACAAGTGAAATTAAAACGCGGCCTTTCGAACAGCGGATAATGCAAAAATAGTCGAGCGGCTTTTAGGAGCACTTTATACAAATTGCAATCATCTCATCACTATAAAACAAGAAGCATTAAGGAAGCTATGTACAAACACAAAGATAGTCTAAACAAAGAGGCTTGGACAAAAACCTATCAAGCCAGACCAACACTAAGATGTGCTTTAAATTTATACTTCATTGTTCACTACGATGTGGCAAAATATCGACAATGATAAATGAGATTTTGCTAAAATGTTTGTAAAACATTGAATATCTGTAAATGCGAAAAAAATATTGAATACTTACTTTCCATTTCGACATCTCCGACAACCTAGACGCTACTACTGCACCTGCCGATCCTCCTCCCACCACTATAAAGTCATAATCTCTGTAAAGTCTCTGAGCGTCCATGATGGGCGTTTCGGGATCTAGTTTGTTGTAGTTTATATACGTTATTCCAGCTAGAATTAAGGGAATCAACCAGAGGGTCGATCCTACTATTCCTATTGTTCTTAAAGCTGTTGAAACTAAAAGGGTTTCGAATACCATTTTGATACAGCCTAGGGTAACGGGTTTTAAGTTATCACAGTTAGCTGAAAATTAAAGATTGTTTATTATTAATAAGTGATTTACAGTTAATTATTTTATTAATGTTTGTTAAAAAAAAAACTAATACTGATTTAAAAAAAATATGAATACTTAAAAATTAAACTAAAAAAACTTGCTTTCGTAATGACAAACAGTTACACATTATGAAACAATTTGATATTAAATAAGGCAAAATGAATGAAGTCTGTTTCATTTTTAAAAGACAAGACAATCTGAATTTTACCAAATGAACTCTTACCCCTATATTAAACCCAATATGTTTTAAGAAAGAAAAAAAAAAGAGAATTAAGTCATTAAGTTCTTCTTTTAGATTACTGCAAGAATATTCAGTTGATAGAAATCTTATGTTAAACATCTCTAAAGCAACAAGTGATCTTTGGTTGTTGTGAAGGCTTTGTGGAAAATATAATGTCTGGAGCCTAAAATAATCTGTAGACCATATGTAATGATTGCCAGACCTATAATTACTATGCTGTGAGAAACAAAATTCAGCAAAAGATAACAAAGAACGTTACAATAGACAAGAATAGAAAGACTGGGTTGCGTAGTAATCATATTTGCCATGGAGCACTAAATAAAGGCTTCGAATTCTCACTAAATACCATAAATGAAGAAATAACAATAAACGAAATCTCCCAGATTACAAGAGATGTGCTCACTAATTATACAGATGATCAAAAACGTATAAAGGAGTCTGGATATGGATTAATGATCCAGAATGTCAATATGCCTTGAAAATAATCATATAATCTTCTTCTTCTTCAAGTGCCATCTCCGCGGCGGAGGTCGGCAATCATCATAGCTATTCGGACTTTTGAGACGGTTGCTCTGAAAAGTTCATTTGATGTACATCCGTACCACTCTCTCAGGTTGCACAGCCATGACATTCCTACGCCTTCCTATGCTTCAGTTTCCTTAAATCTTTCCCTGCATAATCAGTTGGAGCAAGGTGTATTTCTCTCCACGTGTAATATGTCCGAGATATTCCAATTTTCTTGTTTTAATTGTATTTAAAATTTCTACTTCTTTATTCATCCTTTTCAGAACCTCTTTGTTTGTGATGTGTTCTGTCCACGATATTTTCAGAATTCTTCTATACACCCACAGCTCGAATGAATCCAGTTTTTTCATTGAAGTAGCATTTAAGGTCCAAGATTCCATTCCATAAAATAAAGTCGTAAAAACATAGCACCTCGCCAACCTAACTCTTAGTTCCAATTTTAAATCTCTTGTACATAGCACTCTTCTCATTTGTTGAAATTTGCTCTAGCCTTTTCTATTCTGATTTTGATCTCCTGAATGTAATCATTTGTGGAGTTAATCATTGCTCCCAGATATGCATATTTGTCCACTTATTCGACGTTGGTTCCGTGTATTAGAAGATTCTCGTTATTTTTTTGAGTTTTCGATATTCTCATAAATTTTTGACATTCATTGTTAGACCATACTCTTTTCCATACTCCGCTATTCTGGTCATCAGTCTCTGAAGATCAATATTTATGGCTAAGATCACAGCGTCGTCCGCATATCTAATGTTGTTAATGGGAGCTCCATATACCTTTATTCCAGCTGTTTCACCCTCAAGAACGTTTTTCAGGATCTCTTCGGAGTAGGCATTAAAAAGAATTGGCGACAATACGCATCCCTGTCTCACTCCACATCTAATTTCAATTTCTTCCGACAGCTGTTCGTTAACACGTACTTTTGCTTGCTGTTTATAATATACATTTGATATGATCTTAAGGTCGTTGTAGTCAATCTTCTTTGATTTCAGGACATTTATTAATTGTTTATGTCGTACTTTATCGAATGCTTTATTATAGTCAATAAAACATGCGTATATATCTTGATTGACGTCCAGGCATCTCTGTATCAGTATATTAAGTGAAAAAAGACCTTCACGCGTTCCTAGGCCTTTGCGAAAACCAAATTGTGTATCATATAAGTTATCATATTATATATAGTTTAAAATAAATTACCAGCAATAAATTCTTGCGCTCAAGAGTGTCTAAAAAACGTCTTTTTACCAATATATTTATTATCACTGATAATGAAGCTACACTAAAAAAATTATACTGAAATGATGCCATCTCCTGAAGTAAAATGTTCCGGAAGCCTACTGAGCCTAAGTTCTGATTTCTGGATGAAGACTATTTCATGGGGAATATTACAGGTTAGAAAAATTAAGATTGGGCCTTGGAATATTGGAAATCTTACAGGTAATAGTGTGGAGTTGGTAGATGCATTCAATAGAAGGAGAGTATACATTGCTTACATTCAAGAGACTAGGTAAAAGTTGTGGTATGTGGGGAAAAGTAACACTAGAAATGGAGTTAGTATAATTGCTGATAGTAAAATGAAAGATAACGAAGTAGAAGTTGTAAGAACGAGTGAGAAACTAATGTCAGTGAAATTTGAAAAGAAACATGTTTCTTGTCAGAATGTTGTATATGTATTCTCCTCAAACAAGGCTGGATGTGAATGAAAGAAAAGCTTTCTATGTACAATTAGGACACATACTAAATGATCAGAGGAGAAAATAATTATAGTTGGTGATTTTAATGCACATATGCGCTAATCCAAGATAGGATATGATGTAATACGTAGAGGACTAGGTTTTGGAAATAGAAATGAAGCTGGAGATTTACGCTTGAATTAGGAACTGCTAAGGTAATAATGAGATATTAAAAGTTGCTTTTGCTGGATGTCGAAATAAAAAAGCGAAACTAAAGTGCAAAAATAGTAGAAAAATGCGTTGAAATATGAAAGGAAGTCTTAATACACTTTGTAGGAAGATGGCCAGTAACATTAGAGATATCACTATTGAAATATTTGGAAAAATGTCAGGAAAGTAGCAAATAAAGAAACCTGGTGGTAGTAAAACGAAGTTCTAGATAAAATAGAAGAGAAGAGAAAATTATATAAACAGTAACAAATAAATAGATCGGATACAGATCTTCAAAACTGTACGGTCACCAAAAAGGAATCGAAAATAGCAGTAGCAATAGCTAAAACCGAAGCATATACGAATACGATCAACTTGATATCAAGGAAGGAGAAACCAAGATATATATAGTAGCTAAATATAGAGCAAAGAAAGCAAAATCAGATCATGAATCAGATTAGATATATTTGAGATGAAAATAGTGAAAAAATATTTCACAATAGTATCTGAAAAAAAGGAAAAAGTACTTTGACAATTTATTAAATGAAGAAAACTAGTTGAGTTAACGTAGATCAACTGCCTTATGATTTTTATTATAAGGTAGTTGGTGAGAAATACAGAAATAAAGAAACAAACACTCATATGGTATTCACTGATCTTAAGAAAGCATATTATAGAGTTCCTCGAGAGATTTTTTGGTATACACTCAATAAAAAAGGAGTCCACGGTGAATATGTAAAGATTGTGCGAGACATGTATGAGGGAGTAACAACCAGTGTTTGCACAGATGTGGGAGAGACTGAGAAATTTCATGTGAAAATAGGATTGCACAAGGGCTCGGTGGTTAGTCCTTATTTATTCTCATTTGTGTTGGATCAGATAACTAAGGAACTACAGGGTAACGTATGCTGTTGCTTAATGTATACTGATGATGTAGTCATCTACCCATCTTTTTTTAAATCAAAGATAGATACCGATGGAAGCAATTGGGAGATATCTACATTCAGGAGTGGATGGAAAATGTTTGACACAGAGATGATGTAGTGTTAGTAGGGAATAGTGAAAACGATTTAGAACAAAAAGTGGAACAGTGGAGACAAGCTCCTGAGAAACAAAGTTTTAAACTTAGTAGGACAATAACTAAAGTAGTTGGAATGCTTATTTAAAGATGGAGTTTCTACAAGTAATATAATATCTTTGAATGGTAAAATGATGAAAAGTAATAGTTTTAAGTAATAGTGCAGTAGAATTAGGGTTGGATGAATGAAGTGGACCGAAGCGAGTGACAAGAGAAAAATTCCAATGAAGTAAATTCTATAAAACAGTCATATGATCAATTATGAGGTACAGAACTGAATATTGGGCAGTTAAAAAGAAAGAGGAACAACGAATGGATGTGACGGAAATGAGAATGCTTACATGGATGAGTGAAGTGACAAAAAAGAATAAAATTAAAAATGAATATATTAGAGGAAGCTTAGGGGTGGCACAAATTGATGCCAACATGAGAGAGCATAGGTTAAGATGGTTTGGTCGTGTTCATCGTCGAAAAGTTAATCACCAAATACGAAGAAATGTTGATTGCTAGTTCCTGGAAGGAGTAGGAGAGGAAGACTTGGGGGAAAACGCTTAGGCAGGGCATGTATGTAAGGGGGATTGATATTTTTCTGACCCAAGATAGAAACTTATGGAGTAATAAGGACGCCAACCGTGCATAAAGACAAAGAGGATGCTGATGTGATGAGAAGAGTCACGCTGCACTAATGGCGCTTAAGTCTATAACTGGTGAGTCCATAACAGCAATAGTTCCTAAAGAAACTGAGGAAGCACAACAAAGTAATTTGGTTATGGGTGCCAAGACATGAAGGAATTGTCTACAGAACGGGTTTACTGATAGTCTTTATTAGAGCAGTTCTGCGGCATTTTAATAGGAAAGTGGGAAATAGAACTTAGAGCTGCCTGCTGGTAAAATATTAGAAAAAGTTTATTACACCCACGATAAAGTGTACAGAGCAAGATACGGATTATATGAAACTACCGAGGAAAGGACCAAACCTATTATCTACAACAATAGGATAAATTGTTCACACAAGATGAGGAAAGTGTCTACGAAAAACGATTCCATTTAGTATGGTACGATGGTACGATCTTAATATGGTACAATGCTGGGGGTTCACCTATTCAGTCTCCAGCGAGTCTGAATCTGAAATTTATCTAAAATAGATTTTTAGTTTTACTAAAGAAGTCAGGTATAGTCATAGATAATAGCTAATACTTACTTTTTGACTAGATTAAATATTTTTTTCTATATCGTTCGTA